TCCGCCTTCCCTTTATGCGTTTTTTGATGATTAGGAACTCAATTTCCTTCCTTCTCTATATGATACTACACTTTCCTTAATGCAGCACTAATGCTTTGAGTTCTCTCTTTGTGTTTCTGGTTATGAGATAGCAAATAATGGCCTCTATCATGGAAAAACTTCCTATGAAGTGAGAGGGGAGGGAGTTACTCATAACCCCCACTAGTTTGACTCATGAATTGCCAACTATCATCACATTAAGCACTTTAATTCAAACTAGTAACTTCTAAACATATGGACCACTTGATTGCTGAAATAATCTAACATACTTATCAGTTATCTATTGTGCATGGAAAAATTATGAACTCAAATTCTGTTTGTTTTTTTGGTTGCTTTTGGGAGATTGGATCACTGTGTCTAGCCTCTAGGGTCTGGTGATCATGTTTTGGGGGTTGAATCCTTTTTTTATTTTATTTTTAAATGCATCAAAGTGATGATTCTGTCAAATATTATTATATTATAGCATGTTAAGTTCTGGGAATTGAAGTTGTATTATGTTTTCATCCTCAGGGCTAAAGCATAGTGTGACTCGGGCTTGGATATGAGCCGATCTGTGTGATACAAACATCCAATTTTGAATTGTGATTTTTTAACATCCCTTGATAAGTTCGGTTGTCTACTTGCTGGATTCTTTGTTTTGATAATTGTGAATTCCATTTAGACAGTTACTTCCGTTTCTGTTATCAAAATTTAATAAATGTAATGTCCTCGATCCTTTACAGTGATAAGTCACCACTAACTATATACTCAACTCTGAAGTATATTTATGACTAACATAAATTACACAGAATGAATTTGGCCACAAGAACACTGCCTTTTATTCATTTCAGATGAGATATATAACTAAAACTTAACCAATTCTTATAAATATATTATAAATAACACAATGAATGTTATGAATTTGGCCACAATGAATGTTCACATTCACTTATTCAAGAATAAGTTTAAAAAACTTACTTCATATATTAACCATTGATTATAGGGAAATTCAATGGTTTAGATATACTTAAATTTACTCTTGGAGTAAGTGGATTCTTTCCCATTTATCTTTCCATCTAAATTCCATTGGGGACAGAATTAGGTACATTAGCATGTGGATGTAAAGATAACATAAAGTATGTATTTAGCCAATGTTTTAACTTTTATAAAAATGTTTTAACTTTTAGGGTGCCTTTGGTTGAGTAGAGAGAAGTTAGAGAGAAAGTGTATATTTCTCTCATTTGGAGAGACCAAAATATGTTATCTCAAACTGTATCCTAAATCATGTCACATAACAATGATATTGAAATAAAAAAAATAAAAAGTAATAAATATTATAATTTTTGTAATTGACATGAATGTTTTTATCGATCTGTGACATAATTTTAAACATAATTTTGGACGACAAAAAAGAAACACTCATTTCTTTCTATTTTTTTTCTATACAATCAAACAATACTAAAATAAAATCCACGGGATGAAGAAGAAGAGGGAATTAGTGTGGCTGATCTCTGCAGACGTGTCATGGTAATTGTGTGGCTGATCTATGCACACGTTTCATCTTAATTGTGTGGCATACACAGTGGAACCGAGTAAGACTCATTTCCATTAATGGAGAGACAAGTACCCAAAAAATCAAAGAAAGTGGAAGATGCAATGTCATTTTTACCCTTTTTATTTAAAAGATGATTACATCTTTACCCTTGTAATACACATAAAAAACTCACTTACCTTTCCATTAATGAAGATGAGTAGTGTGGAACCACGCCTACCTTTGTTGTTGTTCATTTAATTGAATTACAACTGGTACTGGAACCGTAATCCTAAGCCATCCATAATGACAGCAGCATCATCGTTGATCATCACAACTCTCCGCCCTTCTCATCCTCGTTGGCATTCTTCAATTTATTATAATCACAATTACTCATCTCCCAAATTCAAATTCTTTCCCTCGAACTCAAAGGGTTTATTTGTTGCTACTGCTGTTACCCATAATAATAATGAAATCAATCTTTCATCTTCTGCTTCCAATTCCCAGTATAATAATAGTCCAACAAGTATCACGGATGATCTTGGTGACGTCACAATATTCCGGGCTTCCGGCGAGCCCGTGAGCTTCAAAAATCTGATATGGAATGAAGAAGTAGAAGAAGGTTTAACTGTGGTGGCCTTACTGAGGCACTTTGGATGCCCTTGCTGTTGGGAATTGGCTTCAACCTTGAAAGAATCCAAAGCAAGGTTTGATTCAGCTGGTGTCAAACTCATTGCTGTCGGTGTTGGTACTCCCACTAAAGCCCGTATCCTTGCTCAACGTGTATGTACCATTTCGTTATCTATACTTCACCATTTCTCCTTCAATTTTTATTTCTTCTTTCTTTTCATTTCAAAATTCATATTGTTTCCTTCAGTTACCATTTCCAATGGATTGTCTCTATGCAGATCCTGAGCGCAAGGTAACATGTCAGTGCCACATTCAATATTCAATTAATTATATTTGACCTCATCCTCTTCTCTTCATGTATGTATGTATGTATGTGCATATATATTAACCAATTCTTCCTTTCAGGCATATAATGTTTTGAACCTCTATTATGGATTCGGCCGTACCTTCTTCAACCCAGCTAGTGTATGTGTGTGTCCGTTTGTTTAAATTTGTGAGATCATTATTTTCCATGCTGTTTTGAATACCTCTACTATTGTTGTGTAGTACTTTTTTAAATACCCTTTGTGCTAAACGAGAAAGTTAAGAAATAAATTAATCCCAAATCTCCTTCTCTTTTATCTAGGAGCCTCCTTGGACCTCAAATCCAAGGCAACTCCCCTAACAGTATCTTAATTTTAACCATAAAATCGATAATACAGAGAAAGGTGTTTTCAAGATTTGATGCTCTTCAGAAAGCTGTGAAGAACTATACAATTGAAGCCACTCCAGATGATGCAAGTGGCGTGTTGCAGCAGGTTTGATACAATAATATTAATCTTGTAAACTTGTACCAAACTCCTTATATGACTAGTACCACATCTGTCCCATCATATATGTCATTCTATCTCACCTACGTCATGATTGCTTGAAAAAAATTATTGAAATTAAAAATATAATTATTATTTTTCTGACGATTCCTAATTCATGACACATATAATATAATGACATATATTATGGGACATATCTTCCCTTTATAACTTGCATTTCCTCCTAATCCTTAATATTTGATATTCAGGGTGGGATGTTTGTATTTAGAGGCAAACAGCTTTTGTATGCAAGGAAAGACGAAGGGACAGGTGACCATGCCCCCTTGGATGATATTTTTGATGTCTGCTGCAAAGCTCCTCTTGCCTAAAACTATACTACATAAAATTTGAAATTTAATTTGTGTTACTACATGCCAGCAGTAATCTTATACATGCCTACATAATATAGGTTATGAATATGATTAAGAATTGTATAAAAAATATTCTAAAATTCAATCGTGTTAATACACCAAGTTAAATTATATAAGTAGATAATTTTTCTCAAATTTCAGTAAATATCAAGGCCAATAGATATAAATACTTTCAATTTTCATCCATTTTAAACATATATATTATTGCTAATCTCGGTGTATATTGTTGCACTATTCTTAAAGTCTTAATATTACTCACAAGTGCACGAGTCGCATGGAAGCATAGTCGAGTAAGTAAGAATGAAACATTGATTTTGTTAGCATTATTATGGCAATTTATTTTTACCCATGTTCTAGATTTGTTGGATTTTGATTTTATTTTTCTCAATTGATATAAGCTTTCAAAAAATTTACGAAATTGTTTTTAATGACAATTGTTGTTGTGTAACAATTGTGATTTCATATTATGGATAAAACTAATGAATTGATAATTATTATTATTTGTGAATATAAAATCATAAGTTTGTTCATGAGCAATTTAATTACATGAAATAATTGACATGATTAATGTTAGATAGATTTTTAACCTTAGTCTTTTTTGGGTCAGCGTAACCTTAGTCATCTCCATAACATTCATTAAAATCTTCATAATAATGCTAATAATAATTATTTCATTCTGGCTTTCTGCAATGTGTCCACTCAATTATGTTTAGAGTCTCCTATTTATAGTAGCATGAGCTTTCACCCATTCTATCTCTAATTCTTATATTTATTTCAATTGTAACTTTATTTTGTGAGTTTCACTAAACTTGTTTTCAAATCGATTCCAATCCAATCTTTACTATATCAAATACAATCTTCATCAAATCTTCTAACAAATTTAAACATGACCTATATTTTATCAGAAATTTAAATAAATATATTAATATGATTCTAAAATTAACACAATTAAACAATTAAGCTATAATAATGCTTATTTTTATATTAAATATTATCTAAAATTAGTTTCTCATCACAACCCAATCAACTATTTTCATTTGCTAATGCATTAATATACCATTTTATAATAAAAATATATTTTTCAAGTCCTAATAAAAAAACCATCATTTTCATTTGCTAATGCATTAATATACCATTTTCTAATAAAAATTGATTTTTAAAGCACTAATAAAAAAAAACAACCATTTCCATTTGCTAAGGCACCAGTATACCATTTCCTAATTAAAATTGATTTTTAAAGTCCTAATAAAAAAACAACCATTTTCATTTGCTAAGGCATTAGTATACAATTTTTAATAAAAATTGATTTTACAAGTACTAATAAAAAAAACAATTATTTTCATTTTCTAAGGCATTAATATACAATTTTCTAATAAAAATTAAAATTTCAAGTCATAATAAAAAAACAACCACTTTCAAATGATAAGACATTAGTACATTATTTTCAAATGAAAATAGATTTTTCAAGTCCTAATAAAAAAGCAAGCATTTTCATTTGTTAAGGCATCAGTCAGTAAGTCAGTTTGTAAGTCAGTCACTAAGTCAGTGAATAAGTAACTTAGTAAGTCAGTAAGTAACTTAGTCAGTGAGTAAGTCAGTCAATAAGTCAGTTAGTAAGTCAGTCAATAAGTAACTTAGTAAGTCAGTAAGTAACTTAGTCAGTGAGTAAGTCAGTCAATAAGTCAGTTAGTAAGTCAGTCAGTACGTCAGTAAGTTAGTAAGTTAGTAAGTCAGTCAGTAAGTTAGTAAGTCAATCGGTAAGTCAGTCGGTAAGTCAGTAAGTAAGTAACTTAGTCAGTCAGTACGGCAGTAAGTAAGTCAATAAGTAAGTCAGTCAGTAAGTTAGTTAGTAAGTTAGTCACTTAGTCAATAACTTTGTAAGTCAGTAAGTCAGTAAGTCAGTTAGTAAGTCAGTAACAATCACTTAGTAACTTAGAAAGTCAGTCAGTCAGTAAGTCAATCAGTAAGTAAGCAAGTCAGCCAGTACGTCAGTAAGTAAGTCAGTAAGTCATTCAGTAAGTCTGTAAGTCAGTTAGTCAATAAGTAACTTAGTTAGTAAGTAAGTAACTTAGTCAGTAAGTCAATTAGTAAGTCAGTAAGTCAGTCAGTAACTTAGTCAGTCAATAACTTAGTAAGTCAGTAACTTAGTCAGTTAGTAACTTAGTAAGTCAGTCAGTAAGTCAGCCAGTAAGTAACTTAGTCAATCAATAAGTCAATCAATAACTTAGTTAGTCACTAACTTTGTAAGTCAGTAATTCAATAAGTAAGTTAGTAAGTCAGTAAATCAGTCAATAAGTCAGTAAGTCATTAAGTCAGTCAGTTAATAACTTAGTCAGTCAGTAACTTAGTAAGCCAGTCAGTAAGTCAATAAGTTAGTCAGTCAGTAAGTCAGCAAGTAAGCCAATAAGTGAGTAAGTCATTCAGTCAATAACTTAGTCAGTCAGAAACTTAATATGTCAGTCTGTAAGTCAGTAAGTCAGTCAGTCAATAAGTCAATCAGTAAGTCAATAAGTCATGCAATAAGTCAGCAAGTCAATCAGTAAGTCAGTAAGTCAATAAGTCAGTAAGTCAGACAGTCAGTAAGTCAGTAACTTGGTCAGTCAGTAAGTCAGTCAGTAAGTAACTTAGTTAGTCAGTAAGTCAGTCTGTAAGTCAATAACTTAGTAAGTCAGTAAGTCAGTAAGTCAGTTAGTAAGTTAGTTAGTAAGTCATTCAGTAAGTAACTTAGTCCGTCACTCACTTAGTCAGTCAGTAAGTCAGTTAGTAAGTAGGTCAGTAACTTAGTCAGTTAGTAATTCGGTCAGTAAGTTAGTCAGTAACTCAGTAAGTTAGTCAGTAAGTAAGTAACTTAGTTACTAAGTAAATTTGTCAATCAGTAACTTAGTCAGTCAGTAAGCCAGTCATTAAGTCAGTCAATAAGTTAGTCAGCAAGTAAGTCAGTCAGTAAGTCAGTCAGTAAGTCAGTAAGTTAGTCAGTAAGTAACATAGTCACTCAGTAAGTTAGTCACTAACTTAGTCAGTCAGTAACTTAGTAAGTCAATAACTCAGTCAGTTTGTTACTCAGTAAGTCAGTAAGTTAGTACGTCAGTCACTAAGTAACTTAGTCAATTAGTAACTTAGTCAGTCAGTAAGTTAGTAACTTAGTCAGTCAGCAACTTTGTAAGTCAGTAACCCAGTTAGTCAATAAGTCAGTTAGTAAGTCAGTCAGTAAGTAACTTAGTAAGTTAGTAAGTCAGTCAGTCAGTCAATAAGTCAGTAAGTCAGTAAGTCTGTCAGTCAGTCAATAAGTCAGTAAGTAAGTAAGTCAGTAACTTAGTCCATCAGTAAGTCAGTTAGTAAGTCAGTCACTAAGTCAATTAGTCAGTAGCTTCGTCAGTCAGTAACTTAGTAAGTCAGTAAGTCAACAAGTAAGTCAGTAAGTGAGTAAGTCAGTCAATCAATAACTTAGTCAGTCAGAAACTTAGTAAGTCAGTCCGTAAGTCAGCCAGTTTGTTAGTCAATCAGTAAGTCAGTAAGTCAGCAAGTCAACAAGTCAATTAGTTAGTCAGTAAGTCAGTAAGTCAAACAGTTAGTAAGTCAGTAACTTTGTCAGTCAGTAAGTAACTTAGTCAGTAAATCAGTCAGTAAGTAACTTAGTTAGTCAGTAAGTCAGTCCATAAGTTAGTAACTTTGTAAGTCAATAAGTAAGTTAGTTAGTCAGTCATTCAATATGTAACTTAGTCAGTCAGTAACTTAGTCAGTCAGTAATTCACTAAGTCAATAAGTTAGTTAGTAAGTTAGTTTGTAAGTCAGTCAGTAACTTAGTTACTTAGTAAGTCGGTCAGTAAGTCAGTCAGTGACTCAGTAAGTGTAACACCTCAAATTTCGTTTTCGGAGTGATTGGAAAACTTAGGGTGTAGAGGTGTATGCTTGACCATTCAAGAATCGGAGCATATTAACGGATAGAAACTCTCTTGGGAGTTTGTGGTCCATATGAGAGTCTTTATTTTACATGAGGATGTATTAGCCATAAAAGTGGAGATATATGTGTGGGGAAAACCGTCTATTTAAGTAAATCGCTATATGCTCATTTATGGTAATACACCGTCATTAAAGATGGTTCTAACGTTAATGTGTATATGATGAAGAATATGTTATGCATGGTTTGTTTATGATAATGGTTATGTTGTGTGATAATGATGGTGTGTGAGATATTTATGGGCATAAGCATAAATGAGTATGTTGTAAGTGGTTGAGTGATATAAACATGTATGGGTGTGTTGTAACAATGAATGTGTGATGAGCTGTGAATGTGTTAAAATGGATAAATGTATGTTTGTGACAATGAAGGTGTTGTATGTTATTTTTGGTGATAAAATAATGAAATGTCTTGTGTTGATTGTGTATGACATGGATGTGAGTGTAATGTGGAAACTCGACCTGCCCGATGTGGTATGGGGATTATTTGTACGGTGCAGAATTGTTGAACGAGATCAAGGGTAAATTACTACGGAATGTGAAGGATGTGAAAAGTGAATACTCGGAATGAAAATCATATGCATGCCATAGGATATATATTATGGGATATATATCCTATAGGGTGAATATGAATTATGAGAAATGAGTATATTTGGACGAATAAAATATGCACACTATAGCACATATATAGTATAGGATGTATGTGTACTATAGGGTGAATATGGATAATATGTGATAAATAAATATGCACACTATAGAACACATATAGTATGGGATGTATGTGTACTATAGGGTGAATATGGATAATATGTGATGAATAAGTATGCACACTATAGAACACATATAGTATGGGATATATGTGTACTATAGGGTGAATATGGATAATATGTGTTGATTGATATATGCTTATCATGATTGATGTTAGATGTGTGTGGTTTTAATACTTTAATGTTATTACTCCATGTAAATCCACGCTACAGTCGCCGTAGTTGGTTCTTACTCCCTCTGTCTTTCCTTGTATGTGTTGTATATTTGGGTTCAGGTTGTGGAGGTAGCACATTGGACGCTTGCGGAGAAGAGTACATGATAGAGTAGTGGATAATATGTAATTGATATGTTATATGATAAATATTTGTAATATGAAGAACATGTTAAAGTGAATTCATGTATAAACAACTTTCTTGTAAGTGCATAATGAAGTGGATCTAATGTTTGTATTCAAGGTACTTTTGAGAAAGTGTAATTGTATAAAGGATGTATTTGAACGGAAGTGTAAAGACATGCTTTTGAAATGAAAGGTGTTTGGAATATTTCCGCCTTGTAAATTTATAAACATATTCACTCAAGTTTCCAAATTGTTCGATTAATGTCTTTCAAAAGTAATCACTTCACTTTCACGAATAAGGATTTTAGAAGAGAATTTTCGAGTTATGAAAATCGAGTCTTTACAGTAAGTTAGTCAGTAAGTCAGCAAGTAAGTAACTTAGTTAGTAAGTAACTTAGTCAAAAATTACTTAGTTAGTCAGTAAGTTAGTAAGTCAGTCAATAAGTTAGTCAGTAAGTAAGTCAATCAGTAAGTCAATCAGTAAGTCAGTAAGTAAGTAACTTTGTCAGTCAGTAAGTCAGTTAATAACTTAGTCAGTCAGTAACTTAGTAAGTCACTAACTTAGTCAGTCAGTAACTCAGTAAGTCAGAGAGTTAGTAAGTCAGTCAGTAAGTAACTTAGTCAATCAGTAACTTAGTCAGTTAGTAAGTCAGTCAGTAAGTCAGTAACTCAGTCAGTTAGTAACTTAGTAAGTCAGTAAGTCTGTAACTTAGTCAGTCAGTATGTCAGTTAGTAAGTCAGTAAGATAGTCAGTCATTCTGTAAGTCAGTCAGTAAGTCAGCCAGTAAGTCAGTCAGTATGTCAATCAGTAAGTTAGTCAGTCAGTAACTTAGTCAGTCAGTAAGTCAGTTAGTAAGTCAGTCAGTCAGTGAGTAACTTAGTCAGTCAGTAACTTAGTAAGTCAGTCAATAAGTCTATAATTCAGTAAGTAAGTAAGTCTGTCAGTAACTTAGTCAATCAGTAACATAGTAAGTCACTCAGTAAGTCATTCAGTCAGTAAGTCAATCAGTAAGTCTGTAAGTCATGTAGTAAGTCAGTAAGTGAGGCAGTAAGTCAGTAAGTTAGTAAGTTAGACAGTCAATAAGTTAGTAACTTAGTCAACCAGTAAGTCAGTAAGTAAGTAACTGAGTCAGTCAGTAACTTAGTCAGTCAGTAAGCCAGTTCGTAAGTTAGTAACTTAGTAAGTCAGTAACTTAGTCAGTCAGTAAGTAGGTCAGTAAGTCAGTTAGTAAGTCAGTCAGTAAGTTAGTAAGTCAGTATGTCAGTAAGTAGGTAACTTAGTCAGTCACTAAGTGACTTAGTCATTCAGTAACGTAGTTAGTGAGTAAGTCAACCAATAATTCAGTAAGTCAGTCAGTAAGTCAGTCAGAAAGTCAGTTAGTACGTAAGTAAGTAAGTCAGTCAGTAATTTAGTAAGTCAGTCAGTCAGTAACTTAGTCAGTAAATAATTCAGTCAGTAAGTCAGTAAGTAAGCCAGTAAGTAAGTCAGTCAATAAGTCATAAAGTTTGTCAGTCAGTAACTTAGTCAGTAAATAATTCAGTCAGTAAGTCAGTAAGTCAATCAGTAAGGCAGTCAGTAAGTCATTCAATAAGTTAGTCAGTAACGTAGTCACTAAGTAACTTAGTTAGTCAGTAAGTAAGTCAATAAGTCAATTAGTCACTAACTTAGTGAGTCAGTAAGTAAGTAAGTCAGTAACTTAGTCCGTCAGTAAGTTAGTCAGTAAGTCAGTCTGTGAGTCAGTTA